TACAGGGCTTTTTAATCTTCGAGGATCTGACGTAAAATTCAACCCGGTCTTCTTTGCCTATGCTCTCATCACCGGAAGCGATGTCGTCCTTTATATCGAGGAGATCAAACTATCTAAAGAAGTAAAAGATCATCTGGGGCCTGATGTAAAGTATCGGCCTTACAACGCTATCTTTGACGATTTACAAAAATTATCGGAAACTTTGAAGAGCGAAAACCAGGTCAATTGATTTATATTACGATATTGGTTCTGTATCAAATAATCAAATTAAATATTAACGTTATTATTATATTCCAGAAACTTCTTATTAGCACTCGAACAAGTTACGCTCTAGCGAAGGCCGCTGGTGAAGTAAGACAAATCATTCATAAGTTATAATTGAGATGTTACAAGATGAATAAATAATACCATAACCATAGGGTAATGTTGAAGAAACTCGTTCGCCACTCGCTGAAGCCAAGGCTATCAAAAACGAAGTTGAATTGGAAGGCATGAGACAATGTCATTTGAGAGACGCAGCTGCAGTGGTACGTTTTGTTAATCTCTCATTTTTTTAGACATTGCAACGTTTTATCCATAATCTTCTTTTCTCGCGTTAGATTAATTATTTTGCGTGGCTGGAAGAACAACTTGCGGAAGGCAAAGTGTTTAATGAAATCGATGGATCCAATCGTCTGGAAAAATTTAGAGCGTACTGTTGTTTATTAAATATATTTCCAGGTTTAAGTAAAAATTATTCGATTTCATAGTTTACACAAACTTCACTTAATTACTTTCAGAGAACAAAGCGATTTTGTCGGCCTCTCTTTTGACACCATTTCCGCTTCGGGTCCCAACGGAGCCATCATACATTACAAACCAGAGCCTGAAACCTGTGCTGTAATTGATCCGAAACTATTGTACCTTTGTGATTCTGGTGGTCAATACAAGTACGTATTAATTATGCATTACCTTGACGACGGTCAATAATAATGTGTCTTCTTGAAGACTCACCCTACAATTCTGTGCAGAGATGGTACAACCGATGTGACACGTACAGTTCATTTTGGTACCCCGACCGAGCAAGAAAAACGCGCATTTACGCGAGTTCTCCAGGGACATATTTCTATTGATAGGGCAATATTTCCTAAGAACACAACGGGTAAATTTTATGATAATCATTGAAGGGCGTTCGACTTTATTTTGAAGTTGGTTTAACCATGTTCCACGTTTCAGGTTTTCTGCTGGATGTTCTTGCAAGAGCAGCACTCTGGAGAGATGGTTTAGATTATCTGCACGGAACTGGGCATGGTGTAGGATGTTTTTTGAATGTGCATGAGGGTAAATCATTAATTTCTACTATATTTGGCAATCACCATAGTTTATTTAGCTCTTCCATTTTCGTTCTATAGGTCCACAAGGTATTGGCACTCGAATTGCTTTCAATGATGTACCACTTCAGGTTGGCATGACAGTAACCAATGAGCCTGGTTACTATGAAGACGGTAAATTCGGTATTCGTATTGAAACTGTGCTACTCGTCCGCGAGGTTAAAACCCCTAATAATTTTGGAGACCGCGGCTATTTAGGATTTGAGCATATTACGTTTGTTCCAATTCAAACAAAGCTCATTGATACTAATCTCTTGAATCCTACTGAACATAAGTGGATCAATGATTTTAACGCGGAATGCCTAAAAAAAGTTGGTCCATTATTGAAACCAGATAGCCCTGGACTTCGCTGGTTAGAAAGAGAAACTGCACCATTGAGTTCTTTATTGTAATATTTAATAATGATTGTATAAATGTAGAAATTTGTAATCTTATCAGAATAAATTTTGGAGGCCTTTCACTTGAACTTTTTTTTTGTATTTTGATACAAAAAATCAAGATTTTTAACTAAAATTTAAGTCTAGAACTACGTCCCTTTTTAATTAATACGATCATTTGATCCAATTTTTAATTGCCTTATTGAATTTGTTTAAAAATGTAATAAATAATTGTTTTTAAGGCCAAAAGCAATATGTGCAAAATAATAATAATAATAATAATTAAATATACATATTATTTATTTTTTGAGATTTTAATTTCTTATTTTATTCAAATATATACAGTAAACAATCTGTTGCAAAGATTTAAAACCAATATTTTTTATATATTAATAAAATATGTTTTAAATATAAAAATATACTATTATCAGGTTCTAGTAAATCAAGTTTGCATAAAATAATTTAATTAATTAACCTTTTTCCAATGATTCTTCTATTAATTCAAAAACAAATATTTCAAAATAAAGTTTATATACTTTTTTTAGCATCATTACTTAAAGATTTTAATTTTTTTTTTTTTTGAAATAAACTTTTTATATTTCTATAAATAAATACAAAAAAAAAAACATATCTATAAATCAAAAACAAAAAAAAACACTATTGAAAAAATATATTAAAAATATATATACAGTATGGATCAAAAAAAATTGGAAAAAATCAAAACTCATATTTTATTCATAATTTAATAAATAATTAAATA